CGCGCGCGCCATGGCTGCTGGGCGCAGGGAGGCCCGACTGTGCCATCTCCTTCCCAGGTCCTTGTGACAGAGCCTCTGGAATTGGAATTTTATGCTTGAAAATAGTCCGAAAGCCGGGGAGCACAGCCAGGCCATTCGCCCAAATGCTAGTGCAATTTTCCAAACCAACACAAAACCCAAAGATTAAGGAACAATGAGGAGCAAGTATTGTCAGTACCAGCCAGGGAATAAGGGAGCTCCGACGAACTCGCCAATCCATTCATTTCCATGGGGAAGTGGTTGTTGCCTTTAGAAATACACTTGCCTCCCTCCCTCCCCGAGTCTCCTCACTCAGCGTTCAGTATTGATTTGAGGTTAATCGGGGGTGTTCGGGCTTGGCTGAAGGTTTGTGGCTGTTTCATAGGACAATTTCAAAAGTAAATTTTAAGCCCCAAATCCCACAATAGTTTTCACATAATGAATGGCTGGGGCAAAGGACTCCTCCCCCCTGAGCTCCCTATCCTCATCTGTAAGATGAGGCTAAAAAGTGCCCCACAACGGGTCATTGGAAGGGTTAACATGGTTAATATCTGTAAACAGTGTCAGGCTCATGTAAGCTATTGCTATCATCATTACCACCACCATTACCACCATGACCATCCTCATCTCCATCATCATCATCATCTTCCCATCATCACCACCATCATGATCATCACCATCTCCATCATCATCATCACTATCATCCTCACCACCATCATCACCATCACCACCATCATCATCTCCATCATCATGATCATCATTGCCATCACCACCGTCAAGATCATTACCATCTCCATCACCATCATCACCACCATCATGACCATCATCACCATCTCCATCATCATCTCTATCATCATGACCATCACCACCATCATGATCATCATCACCATCTCCATCATCACCATCATCATCTCCATCACTATCATCACCATGATCGTTACCATGATCATCACCATCATCATTACTGGTGTCATTTTGGTGCCCAGGGGCCAGGGACATGGCACGGGTAGGACTAACACTCTTCCTGCCTCATGAAGCTTACAGTCCATGTCTCCATGTGGGCATGAGTCAACCGAGTGCACTGCTCATGAGGGGCCCATCCTTGGAGCTGGTTATCTCCGGCCCAAACCAGTGCATAATGATGATGGAGATTTCATAAACATCCCAAGATCCACGGCATCCACACAGGGTCCCCTCCAGTTTCCAACCGTAGGTTGTACCCAAAGATCCTAAACAACACCATGATTGTAGAGCTCGAATGTGAGATTTTGAAAAATCCGAAAACTTAACAAGAGCCAAGTGACCTTCCAGAGCCTTCTTGGTCCACACCTGTGCCCTGCACAGCCTCCGCTTGAAGATTCCGTCCGCGTCAAGCCTCACGGGCATCCGAAACACTGGCACCAATAAAACGTGTCGAAACGAAGCTCTGGGTGCGACGGACGTGGTACGGATGGCACGGGAACACTGCCAATGGCGCAGGGGGAAACGGCAACAAGTCTGGACACTTCAAAGCCATGACTGATCCACAAAACAAAAGCTCTTCCTGTAACGTAAACGACAGCTTTCTGGTTCCCAGCTCTATTTGTTCGCGGCTCTCGCTCCCTAATGAGACTTTTTACAACTACACGCGCGCACACACGTGCACACGCCGCCTGAGCTGGGAGAGGCCAGCGGCGCCTGCCCCTCAGGACGCCTCCTCTCACTCTGCTCCTCTCTGTGCCTCCTCTGCAGGCCTCCTTCCCGGGGCTGCACGTCGGGCCTGAGCTGACACGCGTGCTGGCGAGGCGGGCAGCGCCGGCGCTCCCCTGACCAGGCCTCGTGGAAGCACCCCGGGCGGAGGGAGAGGAAGCCCGAGGGCGCCGCAGGGCGAGTGCACCGCACGAGGAGGTCCCGTCGCGTGAGCAGGGCCTTTCCCACGGGCTCGCTCCCGCAGGGGAAGGAAAGGCCAACACGCTTGTACGGAAAACACATCCTCTCTGGGGCGCGTCGTCCTGTGCAGAGACACGCAGTGTTCTCAGTGTCCCTTATGCCTGTTGTACGTAAAGGAATGGTTATGCTAATGACTATCAGTGAACTTACACATCGTTATTGTAGTTGCTTCAGCAGATACCCACGTGCCAAAGAATGCCTCTCATTCCCTGGCGTTCACCGGCACGTCACCATCATCCCACGAAACTTTCTAGGTCCTAGCAGTCAGCGTCTACAGCCACACCTCACAGCTATTTTTTCCAGACAACACATTTCAGACAACCTGGTGGCACGGAGAGACCAGGGCCACTCAGCATCTCCTACAGGACGCCGGGACGGGGTTCGGGGCCGAGTCTGTGGGCACCGCTGAGCACAGAGCAGCCCGGCCTCGCCGGTGTGCTGCCGCGAGCTCCTGGCCACCGTGCACCATCCGCCCCCCATCCTGACGCAACCGGGGCCCGTGCACCGGCCGAGCCAGAGGGAACCCAGGCGACGGCAGCGGTGGAGGGCAGGCTGTGACGCAGCGACAGCTGAGGCTCACACGCTCATTCCCAGAGAGACAGAGGCACTGAACACACCCCAAACGCCCCCTGAAGGATCTGATGCTTGTGCTGGTCTGTGCAGAAGAAGTTTGAGAGGAGAAAGGGGTAGAGAGAGACAGACTGTGGGGCGACACCAGTGCAGGCAGTAGGAGGACACAGGTACATTTGCTGAGCGAGTTGGGACCGATGCCAGATGCCAGTCGGAACGGCCGCTCACCGGGCACCGGTTCGAGGGGAGGGTGGCACGGAGGGCTGGAACTGCCGCCAGCTGGGGCAGGAGGCTCTGCAGGGCAGGGGCGGTGAGGGCGGGAGGGCCGCCAGTGCCGGAGGCGGTGGCATGCAGACTGGGGCGGCGAGACAGGTGAGAGTTCAGGTTATCCAAGGGCAGGGATGGCTGAGGTCGGGGCACCAGGAGGGAGGCTGAGAGCGGGAGGAAAGGCCGGGGTGGGTGGGGTGGGGAGAAATGCGGTGTTTGAGGGTTTAGCCAGAAGCTCTCTGGTTCATGGGCAGCTCCGAGGGAGGAGCCTCCTTGGCGGGTTACAGGCTGTTCCACAGAACACCTAACCAGTGGTCGGCAAACCGCGGCTCGCGAGCCACATGCGGCTCTTTGGCCCCTTGAGTGTGGCTCTTCCACATAATACCGACTTCTGCGCATGGGCCACGAAGTTTCAATCGCACTGTACGTGCGCGCCCGCAGGTGGTGTTTTGTGGAAGAGCCACACTCAAGGGGCCAAAGAGCCGCATGTGGCTCGCGAGCCGCGGTTTGCCGACCACGGGCCTAACCTGGTATCATTCCTCTGGAACGCGGGCTCAGGCCCACCCTTGAAATCTCTTCTGGGTGATAAGGAAGCCCTCGTGTGAGGTAAAGGGACTCTCATGGCCTGAGCTGAGATGAAAAACTCCCAATAGACAGGGTGTCTATTGCATCTTAGAAACTCTCCCTGAGCTTGGACACTTGCATGAGGCCTGTTCTCCCAGCCATCTCAGCGCAGCATCCAGCATGACTCCAGGGCGTCGGACGGCAGAGAGCCACAGGCACGGGCAGACCTTGGCCGGATGCGCCCCCCCCTTCCCCAAGGTCGCCCATCCCACCAGGACGCGCCTGTACCTGCCAGAGAACTCAGTCAGTGACAGCGGACGGCCGACTGCGTTGCCTACGTGCCGTTCTGTCCCCCTGGGAACTGCCTCCCCTGTGACGCCCTGTGAACGGATGGACATTGTCCAGGAGAGCGCGGCCATCTCAAACGAGACACAACGGCCATCGAGTGCGGAGCGCTGTGTCTCTGACCTGTTCCTAGTGGGGATTCTCGGAGCCGAGAGAAAGGCAGCGATGGGGCTGGCGGTGGGGTGGGGAGTGAGGAGGACGTCGGAGAAGGCACGGCTCCCGCCGGCTGGTTACGGGACAAATGAGATCTCTAGAACCGGGGGACTGTTTGCTTCTTCCCATCAAGCAAAACGCGAAGATGCCGAGACATTTTCCAAACGGCCACGCCATGAGCGGAGGGAGGAGGCCATGTGCACGGCCGTCGAGGGCACTCCTCTGACCTGCGTGTTCCGGGAAGGGCAGCCGCCTGCGGGCACCCCCTCCGCTGGGCGCCTCTCAGGGGCAGGAGCCCGGGGAGGAGGCGGCCCTTCCCTGCCGACCCTGCCGGGCAAGGTCCCCCTTTGCTTTGCTCTCACACGTCTATCCCCAGATCCCCTCCCCGCTGCTCCGTCCAAGCGCTCAGAGGCGGGGGTTGGAGGGCTTTGCCAGGAGGACCGCGAGGAGAATGTCTGCCTCCACGCTCGCCCCGCCTGCGCGGACACCGCCCGCCCCGTGTTGTAACACTTGGATCTCGCTCATGGAATCTTCCCCGCTTTCAACACACATGACCTCTCCCCAGAGACTCGGTTATCACTCCATCCACCCCGCCCCCTCGGCCCCGTAACCCGTCCAGCAAAGCCCCAACTTGCAACAAACAGGCGATTCACGGCCCCAGCAAACAGTTATCTCATCTCCCAGAAACGACACCTGGCAGGCTCCCCCAAAAGGCACTGGACTCACCTCCAGCCACACTGCTCCCTGCTAGCAGGGTAAACATTAACACCATAAATGTGCCTTTTAAGTCTGAAGGCGCCGGGACCATGGAAAATAAAATCATAAAACTAGTCCTAGGGTGTGTCTGAGGGTGTGCAGGCAACCCAAGGAGAGCGAGGAGTTCCTGCTTCGTCCATTCGTTACTGGGCCCTGTGCTGAGTGCTGGAGGCCGAAGGCAGGTCTGGGCCTCATGGAGCTGGTTGCCCAGGAAGGAGGGAAGGAGGGAGGGAGGGAGGGAGGGAGGAAGGAAGGAAGGGAAGAAGGAGGAAGGGAGGGAGGGAGGGAGGGAGGGAGGGAGGGAGGGAGGAAGGAAGGAAGGAAGGGAAGAAGGAGGAAGGGAGGGAGGGAGGGAGGGAGGGAGGGAGGGAGGGAGGGAGGGAGGGAGGAAGGAAGGAAGGAAGGAAGGAAGGAAGGAAGGAAGGAAGGAAGGGAGGAGGGTCCGGGCCTCATGGAGCTGGCCGCCCAGGAAGGAGCGAGGCAGACCCTGCATCTGGTGTCTGTGTCCACACCTGCAGGACAGGCCGGCGCGAAGGGAAGTGAGCAGCCGCCTTCTCCGGGCTGATTTCCCCAACCATATCCTCGTGCCGTCACACATTCCTTCTCACACAGTGAACAACCTTCAGGTGGGAGAATGGGCCGAGCATCTGTCCGGCCCAGGACGGCGTCCATGGCGTTGCTCTGCGGCCTCCCTCGCAGGCAGGGGGTGATGCCCGCGGCCCCAGGAGCAGAGCCCGGGGACACTAAGGGCCCCCCTGGCCTCCTCAGTGGAGCAGGTGGGTGAGCAGCAGGGCGGGCCCAGCGTGGCGGGCGGGCTGGGTGGTGTCAGTCCCTGCCCGTCCTGCTTCTCGTCTTCCCTCTCTTTCTAGGGCCCAGGCTGCCCGGCCTCCCCTCCGCCTCCCGGGCGTCGCACGGAGGCCCTCCTGGCGCCGCCTCCTGGGTTTCCTGTCGGCGGGATCCCACCTGGTGAAACTCCCGCGCCTCCAGCACGTCACCGTGGCTTTCTCCAGCCTCCACCACGCAGTCACCTTCGCAGGGACAAGTGTGGAAACCGTGGGAGACAAGCCTTCCCGCTGTGGCGAGGTATCGGCGGAATGCCCGGGCTGCGTCCGCCAACAGGCGGTGCGGGCTGCTCTCCCGGATGCCCGCTGCGCTGCCCGGGCGTCACTGCACAGCTCTGAGGGCAGCGCCAGGGCCTGAGCTGGGCACTGGGATGTCACCCCCACTCCGCGCTCACTCAGTGGCCGCCTGCGGATCTGAAAGGAGGCGAGAGCGCCTCTCACCACGTCCCTGTGCCGCCGGGTGAGCCATCCGAGCCCACAGAGCACACCCGCTTCCCTGCGACCTGGCCGAGGAGTCCGGTTACCGGCAGCCTCCGGGCTTTCCTGGGGACCGCTGGGAAGTGACAGTCACCGCGAACATCAGAGGTTACTTTCATCCTCCTCACTGCTCAGCGGCAGGCGTGCGTAACTGTTGGGGGCGCGAGGGCTGTGCAAGGAGCATCGGACCTGGGAGCAGAGGGACGCGTGTGATCCAGGCGCCTGTGGGGCCGGGGGCTCGGCTTCTCTGAGGCTCAGCCACGGTCTCAGCGAATCGTTGGGCTGGGTGAGGTCCGCACGCAGGTCAGGTCACCCCTGTGACGTTAGGACTGGCCGGGGGAAACTATGGAAGTTCATATAGTCCGGGAAGAGAACAAAGCGAGAGACCAGGTGTGGGCTCCTCCTCCTGCTCACAGCCTCCAGTGCGGCTCACGGCCATCCTCAGGCCCACGCCCATGCCCAGGCCCACGGCCACGGCCAGGCCCCACACTTTAGTGGAGGAGGCAAGCTCTTCCGTAAAATGTGGATTTGTGTCAAAATAGGAAATTAACAGCAAACCATGCCAAACCCCGTATACCTCTGGCTTTGCTGTTTTCAGACAGCATGCCATTTAACCTTCACCCAATCCTGGCCTCCTCCCCATTTTACGAAAGGAGAAACCAAGGTCTGGAGATAAGCGACTCATTTGACCAGGGCAGACCCACAGTCAAGCCCTCATTCTGAGCCCTGGCTCCGGGCCGCCCGCCTCTCGCACGCCCCGTCCTGGGGATCGAGCCGATACCCGGGCATGTGCCCCGACCGGGAATCGAACCGTGACCTCCTGGTTCATAGGTCGACGATCAACCACTGAGCCACGCCGGCCGGCCATGTCACCATTAGATTCCCAGGAGCACAGGCATCAGAGCGGCTGAGATGACACAGGCGACCGAGGCCTTCACACGTATTTCGGGATCTAGAACAAACTCTCCAAACATTTATACGGAACCAAAGAAGACCCCGAAGAGCCGCAGCAATGTCGAGAAAGGAGAAAAAAGTCGGAGGGATCACAAGACCAGAGATGACGTTATCCTACAAAGCCTGGGCCCGAGTGCTTGTCCGGGCTCCCCCCGCCGCCGCCCCCCGCCCCCCGGGGCCCGGCCGCTGCAGGAAGGCCCTGTCCTGCTCGAGGTCGGCGGGCACCTGGACTTGAGCTCCTATAAAAAATTCCAGAGTCCAACAGCCCTGCTTCCTATCCCACCGCCTGGGCCAGGGTCACAGCCATGGCTCAGGGGCCGTCGTGCCGGACGGGACGCCGCCTGCGAACTCCCCGAGCTGGGACCCCCCGCGGTGCTTTCGGGTGGACGGGGGACATAGTGGCGTTTTCGGTGGATTTCCCCTCGCTGGCTCCTCAGGGGAGGAGGCCACTGGAATTCGATGGGGAATGTGGGAGGGGTTTTCTTGTCTCCAGGGCAGACACACACCCAGGACTTTTCACACACAGGCCCCTGACCACGCCCACAGCCACGCCCAGGCCCCCCTCCCTCCCTCCACGGACACGGGAGAGCAGGCTCAGGGGCCCAGGCTGCACTGGGGGAGGCGAGGCCGTGTGTGGGGGGCAGGGGGCTGTGTGATGAAGTGAACGGGGTTACCGAGCGCCTGCTGGACGCAGGCACGCACGTGCCCCCCGCGGTCAGTGCTCTCGGGCGTCCCTGCTGGTCAGAGGCTCCGGGAGTGGCTGTTCTGGCCACTGAGCTGCTGTTTAACTGAAGGCGGAGCAACCAAGTCTCTGAAGTGGGGCCTCCCTCCTGCCTGTCCCCTCTTTTCACTCTCAAACGTGTCCTGGTCTCAGCCCTGCGGCGTGGCTCAGTGGTGGAGCGTTGACCTATGAACCTGGAGGCCATGGTTCAATTCCCAGTCAAGGGCACATGCCCAGGTTTCGGGCTTCATCCCCAGTGGGGGGCGTGCAGGAGGCCGCCCATCCATGGTTCTCTCTCATCACTGATGTTTCTCTCCCCCCCCAGCCCCCTTCCTCTCTGAAATAAAATAAGAAAAAGTGTCCTAGTTTGGAGGGAAATGATAGGAACACCCTGAGTCTAAAGGCAGCCTGGTCTTCCTTCGGTAATATCTCAGGATCCGCAGGATAAAGTGGCCGCCCAGGCGGGCGCGGGCCCGGGCCCGGGCGGCAGCCCAGTGTGCCCGGGGCCATGTGGTGCCCTGAACAGTGTCCAGGGCTGCGGAGAGGAGACAGAGTCCGGGCGGGGACAGCGCCTCTTGGCGCCTGGGGCTCTCAGCGGGTCAAGGCCCTGTGGCCAGCACTCAGCCTGAGCGAGGCTCATCACGGCATCACACTGCACACCTTGCTCCCCCCTTTCTCTGCTCTTCCAACCTCAACAGGCTCCCTCTCCTGCGAGGCTGTCCGTGCCCAGACGCGGGGCCTGCCCCTCCCGGCCTGGAAGGAAGGCGGCCCCCCCACGCTGCCGTCTGCCCCGGGGCCTGCCAGGGAGCCCGCCGGCCGCTCTGAAGCCACGTCTAGACGACACTGAAGGCCTTGATTGGAAGTGACAGCCCCCAGCTAATCATCTGTTTGTTCAGACCCCAAATTACGGGGCTGAGCTGGGAGCCCTCGCACCAGCTGCCCGTCGCCGGGGGGTGGGGGGGGAGGTGGTTGTGCCTGAAGGTTGGCCCAGATCCTGTCACCTGCCAGATGCTTTGCTGGCTGCGCCTGGACACAGACACGGACACAGACACGCCGGGACCAGGGAAGGGCCCTGGGCTGCAGCCATCGGACGTGAGAGCAGAGCTCCCGAGAGCAGCGCCGGGGGGGACAGGCCTGGCCTCCCCGCGGGACGGAGCTCACCTGTGGGGGCTCACAGGGGGGCTGCTGCGGAGTGCAGGGTGCCCGCTCCTGGTCGTGGCGTTGGTTTTTCCCATCCGAGGCGGAGCCTGTAAAAGGCGGCTTTTCTGGCCCCGGCAGAAGGGGCTTTGCCGCCTGGCTGCCCGCGAATCTGTGCCCCGGGCGAGGGCCTTTAGCACAACGCCGGGCGCAGGGCTGTGCCCTCCCCGTGAAATGTCCCCTTCACCTGGCATCACCCAGGCCCGAGTGGGTGTCTGCGTGTCCGCACCCGTGGGCTGGCAGCGGTAGGGCCGCTTGTAAGGAGAGCCCTCCACAGGCCTTCTCTCAGGTCCCCTCTGCCACGGACTCGTCCACCCTGAGCAAACCAGCTCCTCGCGCTTCAGACCCACTCGGGCCTGTAAACCCGCACCCCCTCCCCCTGCCTCTTACTAAAGAGGGCGGGTCACAGCCCTGCTGCCTTCCACTCCAGAGGGGTCGGTCCTGCCCAGAGCCTGCTGACAACAGGCTCAGGAACTGAAACCCAAGGCTAATGGAGAAAAAGGAAGAAAAGGTGTGAGGGTGAAAGAAAATCCCAGCCAGCCAGACGCAGCCTGCCCGGCGGCAGCTGCTCCCAAACCGGTTCCTGCGGGTTGCAAATCCCGCCCGCCCTGGCGGGGCGCAGACGCAGCCTCTGAGGACGGGAACACGGGGGACACGCTGTCCTCCCAGCGGCTGGGCCGGTGGAGCGGAGGGCGGGCCGCCCGGAGCGGCCACCACGTGGTCCCGGCTGGCAGGGCCGCTGGGGAAGAGAGCAGCCAGCTGCCGCCCGCATTCAGCGTCCAAATCCGATTTCTATGCTCCCTGACTCAGTTCCTGGGCCATCAATGGAAGGGGAAGCAACAATGATGCCTCGGAGAATAAGAGCGCGGGGCGCCTGGAAGCCCCCCAGCACCCCTCCCGGAGGAAGCTCTCCTGGAGGCGTGCGCCCCTTGATTCTGCAGCCGCCCCGGGAGGGTGAACGCACCCCCTTCTTGGCCTGGAAACGCTCTCCAGCTACTCACACCTGGGCCGCGGGCTGCCAGGGCCAGCTGGGCACGGAACAGGCCGGTGGCCGGGGGCCAGCGAGAGGCAGGAGAGAGGAGAGCGGGCGGAAACTCGTCCCCCATGAAGTCTGAAAAGCAGGATTTGGACTTTCACTTCCGGACACGGGCCCACGGCGGCGTGGAAATCCAGGGATCGCCAGGCAGAGCGCCGCCTGGCCCCTGAGGGCCGTGAAGAAGTTGCCGCTCCTGAATTTCTTCTCATGGATAGATTTTGAGTTGAGGTGCAACTAAGTTAATCATCTTGAAACAGTTACGATTCAGAGCAAAGGCCCGTCCCGTCGATCAGGGAGGTTGGCGCCACCTGGGCTGTGCCCGGCCTCTGCCTGCCTGGCCTGGTGGGGGTGGGGTGGGGCACGCAGAGGGCCCGGCCGGCTGAGAGCAGGTGCACCTGGCTGTCTTCTCATCTGCTGGGGCGGTTGAGGAGCAGGGCACAGAGACCCTCTCCGCCTCCTTTGGCTACATCCCTATGAAGGTTTTAAACTTCTCTCTTTGGAAATTCTCCTAAGAGTCACATGCACCTTCTCCCCCACCTCCTTCTCCAACAGAATCCTGTAATGACAGCGTCACGCCTCTCAGCCATCCATGCGTGTGTCATGGCCCCTCAGAACTTTCTCTCCTTCCGGGCCCAGCCCGCCTCCCGCCTGGCTGGCTCGAGAACTGAGTTTGAAAACTGTGTGTTGCGAAAGCACAGCCAGGACCCAGGCTGGACCCCTGAGGAGCTGCACGGAGGAACTACTTTGGTGCCACTCAAAAAGAGGATGGCTGGCCTGGCCGGTGTGGCTCAGTGGATAGAGCGCCGGCCTGCGTGTGGACTGAAGGGTCCCAGGTTCGATTCCTGGTCAGGGCGCATGCCTGGGTTGTGGGCTCCATCCCCAGTAGGGGGCTTGCAGGAGGTAGCCAATCAATGATTCTCTCTCATCATTGATGTTTCTCTCTCCCTCTCCCTCTCTACAATCAATTGTAATACCTTAAAAAAAAAGAGGATGGCTTTAAGGCTGTTTTTGCTTTTGTTTTTGAAATGCCAAATGGACTCTTTAAACTTTTTTTTTTTTATTCACTTCAGAGAGGCAGGGAGAGGGAGCGGGAGACAGAAACATCAATGATGAGAGAGAAGATGAGAGAATCATGGATCGGCTGCCTCCTGCAAGCCCCCTACTGGGACTGAGCCCACAACCCGGGCCTGTGCCCTGACCGGAATCGAACCGTGACCTCCAGGTTCATAGGTCAATGCTCAGCGACTGAACCACGCTGGACGGGCCCAAACAGGCTGTTTGTCAGGCAAATAAGCCCATGCCCACAGTCCTGGGCCCCAAGGATCCTTCGGTTCTGTCCTTGGAGGCCAAGGTTGCACCTGAAGGAGGAGGCGGCCCTTCGAGGTCTCGGGTGGGACACAGCCGTCGGCGGAGGCGATGCCCCGACTCACAGTGACTCATGGGAAAGAGGAGGCCCTGGCCGCTGCCTCCCGACCGGCCTCGTCTTGCTTCCCGCTTGGCCTCCTGCAAGAGAACCCCCACCGTCCAGCAAGCGCGATGCTCTGAGCCTTGATGTCTGTTTCTTTTGAAGATGGTCCCGAGGCTGCACCTCCCGCCGCACGCAGCCCGAGTCCCGTCCCTGGGAACACCTCCCAGCCCCGTCCCTGCACTCCCGGGGCTCCTTACGGAGCTTCTGCCAGGAACAGCCCCAGGTCGTCGGCAGGAGGATGTGATCCTTGGAAAGAATGAGCCACCCTGGACTGCACGCGCTCGGATCGCATCCATATTTTATGTGGAAGGGACTTTAAGTAACTTCGCAGACGCCGTCATTTAATCCCCTGCACACGCCGGCTTCCAGGCTGCGGATCCGCTGCCTAATAAGGCCGCCTGTTCTCCGTTCGGGTTTCTGCATTCACCCTGCCCCACGCCGCCCCCTCCCTCCTTCCTTCCAGGCTCCCTCTATCACATTGCCCTGTTCTTTCTCCATGAGCACTGAGCATCGTCGAAATTTCCTTGTTTTATAAAACCATATTCCTATTGATTTCAGACAGGAAGGGAGAGGGAGAGAGAAACATCAATGATGAGAGAGAGTCATCAACAGGCTGCATCCTGCACGCCCCACACTGGGGATCGAGCCTGCAACCCGGGCTCGTGCCCTGACCGGGAATCGAACGGCGACCTGGTTTATAGGTCGGGCTGCAGGCTCAGGAGGCGTCGGCTCCCCTGCCAGGCAGCCCAGCTGGCTTGTCACTCGTCAAAGTGACGGGAACGGCCAGCTGGCTGCAGGGAGGGGCTGCTCGGCCTGGGAGGAGGGAATCGCTGTCTT